TAGCATGTGTGTGTGTGAAGTGTGATACTGAGTGTTGCGTGTGGGACATCCAGGGTGATCCAGAGTGCGAACAGTGAGTTGTGTGGGCGCTCAGTCGCCATAGCCAGTTTGAAGAGAACTCTTATGTGGATACGATATCTTGAGTACTGAGTGGGCGCCTGTCGCCAATTTGCTGTTTCGCTGTTTGCATACATGACAAGTTGAATAATCGTAGTGTGATTTCACAGCAGATCTTGAGGTTGAAACAGGAATTTCACAGAGTGATTTGTCAGATCTTGAGGAAGAGCTGTAAGGTCTTGCAGGTGTAAGTAATGACCTGGACAATCACAGACTGACAAATCTTCTGTTTTGAAGTGTTTTCTGAGTTTTGCCGCTGGACTGAGTGACTTGCTGAGATTCTCGTATTCTGCTGAGATTTCTAAGTACATGTGTGTGCATGATTGCTGAGTTTGCATGTGTTTGCTTGGCTGCATGATTACTCGGGTGTGTGTGTCACCCCCGCCAGGGTACTTGTGTGCTAAGGCGGCCCCCGAGCCTGGTACTTACCTGTGGCCATGCTTTTGTGAGGGCACAGAGGGGACTTAGAAGTGTAGGCTAGGCCCAAGTGGGTTGGAAAACACTCAAGTAGTGGGTAGGTTGGGAGAAGAAGAGAAAAGAGTTTGTACCTTTAGAGGCCAAAGTGAACTTTCGAAGTCCAGTAGGCTTAGGGTCTAGGGGTACCGGTCCAGTAGAGTGAGTCTGGAGCCTGTGGAGGAAAATATCAGTCTCTGCAATGATGTTCCCTTCGATTCATGGAGGTACCGGTAGACTTGGGAGGCCATGCGGCCTCGAACCCAACACACGAAGAGGAGGCATTACTCTTCCCAGTATATCTTCGCTGGAGGCAAGAGGCTCAGCCTCATTTGCAGCGTGGACGTTTGGGCAACATGCTGCTGGTGGAGCAAGCGCTCGGCATAGCAGTGTTGGGAAGGAAGAAGGCGGGCTTGACCCTGCACCTCGGCTATGGCGGAGAGAACTGAGGAGACTCCGGGGGAGTAGGAGGAGGCGGCGGAAGACGGTGAGCAAGTAGGAGAGTGATGGGTGAGCTTACCAGGCTATGACGATTTGCATCTTCATCTTCTTGGTTGGCACTGCACCTGGAAGGCCCAAGTTGGGGCTGACACCTACAAGGAAGACTCCGGGGACCGGGGCAGTGCTAGGCGTGGCGGCCATAGTAGGAGGGACACATTAGCTTTGCGCTGTCCTCTGAACATCAGAGCTTCATTCCGACAGTCCGCCATAGCCACCTGCTCGACCAAGGAGGAGGAAAGGTATGAGATGGCTATGGTGGACCTCCCCCCCCCCCCCCCCCTAGAAACAGCCCGAGAGAATGCTAGGGGTGCTGATAAGAGCAGTCACCGCTGGCATGCCCGGGGAGGCTCCATCTATTGGTGGGGAGCAACACCTGCTGGAAAGCGGGTCCAGCGTCCCTCAACAATTTTTAGGAAGGGGCAGTTTGTAAAAAAAAGTTATGTAACCGTGCCACGTGTCCATCACACTATAAACATGAGTGATCGCCAGAATGGACACGCAGGCACACATCATTTATTCGATGAGCTGCCTTGATTGCCCTCAATCAGCTAGCCATCGCAGACTGACAAGTTATCCCTAGTCTGACTCCCTCATCATTTACTAAATCGATCTTGCCGCACCCGGGGAGGAGGAGCATTTAGAATAGGGGGGTTTAGAAGCTCAGTTATAGTTGAACCGTGGACGAAATCCGGTTCCGCCAATTCACTCGATTGTGTAAGGTTACTAGCACTGCATCCCCCCCACGATCCTCATCATCCACGAAAGCACTCAAGTGGGGGGGGGGACACGATTTGCGGAGATTACTCAGATTGATAGCCACATGGTCACCTAATTAATCAGTCAAGGCCGTAGCAGGGCCGGTGGCAATCGTCACATCCCCAGCTGCCACGCCAATCATTCACACGTAGCCTATTCCTATATTGCAAAAAAAAAACGCAAAAAACGAAAAATGGGCGAAAACCAACAAATCCGGTTCCGCCAATTCGCTCGACTGTGTAAGGTTATTAGCACCGCATCCCCCCACGATCCTCATCATCCACGAAAGCACTCAAGTGGGGGGGCACGGTTTGCGAAGATTACTCAGATTGATAGCCACGTGGTCACCTAATTAATCAGTCAAGGCCGTAGCAGGGCCGGTGGCAATCATCACATCCCCAGCTGCCCCGCCAATCATTCACACGTAGCCTATTCCTATATTGCAAAAAAAACGCAAGAAACGAAAAAACGCTAATTCAGCCTGGCAAGCCAATGGTCGAAAACCTACGCGAACCCCAGTTGTCCTGTTGCTACGCGGCCTAAACAGGATATGATGCTCCAGCTATTTAGCTTTCACTATCCCACCCCCTCACGCCGCCACCCCATTCCACGCGTCCACACCCAGCCTTCCCGTTTGCGAATCCACCCATTCAGCCTTGCCACTCGCCCGTCTCCCCAATCTTCAGCCAGAGAGCACAAGAAGACATCCAGGGGGAGGGGTAGGGGGTAGGGGGGAAGAGATTGCCCATTTGACCTTACCACCTCATGAGCAGTGCTGCTTTTGTTATCGTTAATGTTGTTATCAGCAGTATTGTCGTCGCTGCTGACGACCTCGATGACCTGGCTGTCCTGGATACGAGCGTCACAGTCATCCTCATGAAAGTCACCGTCATCACCGCTATAGTTGTTGTTGTTATTGTTGCTGTTGTTGTTGTTGTTGTTGTTGCTGTCGTTGTTCCTGATGTCATTGTTATTGTTGTCGTTGCTGGCTTTGTTGAGATTGCTGATAGCATAGGCACCGATCGTACTTGCGTTGCTGTCGGCGTCGTCCGTGATGCCGTCCACGTTGTCGTAGTATCTGTCCTCCAACACGGCGTGAAGAGCTTGCCCCTCCTCAAGCTCCTCAAAGTGACTCCGCATCAATCTGTCCAGCCGTGGCCAATCCAGGGTCGCATGCAGGTAGGGGGGCGGCCCCTCCTCCAGCCCCCATGACATCTCCAACAGACCCTGCATCACACTCCGAAGCCACGAAATCGACGGCACCACCTCCTCAGCAGCAGCCGAACGTAACATCGCCACCGCAAGGCTGAACCGCACGCTAGTCTCCTGGGCAGCTGCCAGCCACTCAACCGCTCCTGTCCGCAAATCGCCCGAAGTCGCCATCGTCATTCTCCACTTAATTGTTGCCCCACGTCACACACCCCTGCACACCCTAGTCGTGCCCCTCCTTACTGACTCCGCCCTTCTCAAGAGGTCCAAAATGACACGCCACGTGGCATGCCATCGAACAGGTGGGAGGCCACGTCACAGGGCAGGAGAACCGCCCTGACGTGTCGCACAGGGAGTAGGCCGAGCCGTGCCGGCCGATCCCCGGCGGGGGACCAAGGCGCAGGCGGTTGGTAACGCAGCATTCTTTCATTGTTACTGTTATTATTATATTATTATTGTTAAAAAGAAATTGCAGGAGTAATTGGAGCTTGGAGACGGTGGCGAGATGAAGGGGGATTGACATTGGTCTTTGCTGGTGTTCATCTTCATCTTCTTCTTCTTCTTCTTCTTCCATTCTTATTTCTTCTTCTCTTTTGTCTATTTCTCTCTCCGAGTCCATTCATTTCAGTTGCAATCGAACCGCGTTGTCTTTCTTTGAGTTGTTGCACTTCAAGATAGCCAGGATCGTAACACAGGTTGAGAAAAAGTTCTTTGGGGGGAAAACAAAAGACTTTGGATCATGGCGATCCAGGTAGTTGGCCACTGAGGTTGCCGTAAGATGTGCACTGAAACTTATCATTTAGAGAATTCGGTCGGTTGGTACACCCACGGGCAGTTGAAATATACCCCTGAGTTCAGATTGTCATGGACTTAGTGTTCGAGTCTCCTGCGGTCTTCGCCGCTCTCACAACTTCCGCACATGAAATCTCCCTCCCTCTCTCTCTCTCTCTCTCTCTCTCTCTCTCTCTCTCTCTTTATATATATATTGTCACAGAACTATTGACTAAGAGCATGAGCATGTGAAGTAGAAGAAGAAATAAGATGAGCAAAGAAAAGAAAAATGAAAGGAAAGACAGGCAAAGAGACGGACAAACCAGAATGACACTTTGTTTCACAGTATTATTATTTCTTTCAGTCTTTTACAAAAATTATTTACACTGAATCAAAGGATCAAAAACAAAGACACATTGAAATCATTCAGTTTCTCAGTCTTCTTAACGCCTCCTCCACTGTGCCTCTAACGTACA